TGAAATTTTGGTAGTGTGCTGATATTACTTTTATTTATCTGTATACCTATATATACCATGTATACCTATACACACATATATTTTTATTCAGGAAGACGCTTTCGGCTAGTGGGAGAAACTTTAATTCCAGCACTAGTTTACATGTGTGTCCACGGTGACATTTAACTGTCATTTTCACATGGCTCCCTTTCATTTCCATTTTTTTCTTGCTATAAGCCTTGCCAGTGCTGTTCTTAGCTTTTTGCTCTTACATGTTTCAAAGGAGTATATTTGCTGGCATATCATGGAAAGCATTTTCTGTGTGCAAAGTTGCCAGTAACATCAGGCTTCACCCATGACATCAAATTTTATTACTATTAGTTTTCAGTTTAATTACAGTATATCAGATGGAAAAGTGAATTCAACTCAGGCATGTTTTGTTTTTTGAGAATATTGTTGTGTCGGGACACATCAGGGTAATTGTGTAGCATGAATATAATCATGTAAGAATCATACTATTGATAATTTTTTTAAGTCATTAAGAAGTTCAGAAGTAGTACAGTTTTTACAGAGACAACAACTATTATTAAATCTGCAAGTTTTGGAGCAAAGACAGCAGGAGTTTCCAGAAGGGAAACTAGTTCTCAAGGAAATGCAAAAATTCTGGCATTCAGGAATGCAAAATACTCTGTGATGTCTGGGATAGTCCAACACACTATGTCAAAGAAGCATATTCTATAAGGAAAGTGATCACTGTTTAATGTCTGTGAAATAAGAGTGTGCATTGCTTTTCAGAGATGTGCTGGTGAAATCTGAGAGGGATAAAGCTCAGTGGGATGGATGCATCTCCTGCTGTTGGCTTCTCTAGTTCATGGTGCCTACTACTGCTGATCTCTTTTAAAGCAGACACTCTTGTGTGTTGAAGTTCTCAACAGTGTAAATCTCAGCTCACCAATGCCAGGACAAAATTAAGTTTCTTGTACTCATTTTTCATTCAAGAAAATGAAAAAGATCCTTTTCTAAAGGGAAAAAAATGAAAACAAGAACAACACTCCAGCATTTTGTTACTGTTTTTCAAAATTGTGCCATTTCAAGACTGTTATTTCTAAGTAATGTTCAAAAATAATGGGTAGGATACTTTTTTCTTGTATTTTCTCCAGGATCACTTTAAAAAAGAAAACCCACCAATAATAACAGGCCAAATGTCAAGTATATTCAATGTTAGAATAATAAATGAATCGTTCTCAAGTTTAGCTACCAAAAATGCTGCTTGGATTTCAAGCTTTGAAATATGTGTATATTTTTATATAGTTAACTTTAGTCATGGCTGTTTTAAATACTTATGGGAAGTCTTTAATTTTTTGTTTCATACCCACATATCTGTTAAAAAAAACCCGTTTACCAAAATTATTCATTAAAGTCATCGTTGACCTTTGAGTTATCTAATTTCCTTTTTCTCTAGCTTCTTTTCACTGAATGCAGAGGAATTCATCTCCTGTTTGTTACTGTTTATCCTCATACCTATAGTGGTAAGTGCTTTATTGAATCCCTAGAGCTTATGCTAAGGTCTATGGTGAGAAAACCCAGCTTATGCTTCTTCTGAAGGAATAAGAGCAACACATAGGAAAGAAGGGAAAGTAACAGGCCAGTGAAAACTGAATGCACAGACAAGGGACTGGACTTCTACATTTATAGTACGCTGTGATGATTAGTATTTGTCAAACCCTAGTGGATAAGTGACAGACTTAGTCTTTCCCCCAGGACATTTCTAGAATAAAGCAGCTGGCCATTCACATGAATTTGGATGGAGGAACAGGACGGTGTTCAACAATTATTGTCTGCCACATTAGAAATTATTTTACTTTATAAAACCATCGATAAAATAGCAGTGTTTATTTTGGGTAGGTTTGTTGCAGTGTATCCTGTTTTTCACCCCTCCACATATTCCTGACCTTTACCAAGTAACTTTGCAACTCCTCCTAGCCCTTGAGCTTGAGTTTATTCATCTACTTCTCAAATCTGGAGGACTGGCCTCAAGACTTGTTTTGGCCAATAGAAGACAGGGGCAATAAGATGCCAGCCCTGAATATACTTCTAAAGGTTTTGACCATTTCCACTTGTTTTCTTAGAGTTACCCAGCTGCCGTGGTAACAAAGTCAGCCTAGCCTGCTGGATAACGAGAAACACGTGGTTTAGTCATCCCTGTTGTACCAGATAGACATGTGCAGAGACATGTACAGAGTGAGGCTATGCTAGGCCACTGTTCCCCCAAGCCAAACTGCCAGCTGTCTGCAGAAACATTTGTTACCAACTGGAATCAGCCGAGCTTGGCCCAAATATATCAATCATACTCATTTTCTTAAATATAATTTACTAACTTGGACTAGAATTATCCAAAACTAAATAGCAAACGGTTTAACTATTTTTTTTAAAACAGGGAGAGAGAAATAGAGGAAAAAGTAATTCTAGTGGGCCAAGTTTCAAAACTGCAGTGTATGCAAAGGCGTTCCATCAACTTACCTATGGTGAAATTATTTTATATCGGGAATCTTGCTGTCAAAAATGCTTGTTGCAATAAAACCACTACCTTGAGATATTACTACACATAACACTCCTGACAGTTTTAGCATGGGTGTAAAGCACTTAAACAAAACTCATCAGACTCAGACATGGAGTAAATAATTTAATGACGATACAACACTCAAATTTCTTTAAACACAGTATTTCCACTTACTGTATTTTGTCTGGAGTACAGATGTGAAGTGGTATAAATTATTCCCAAATATCGAACCATGAATTAAGCAAACAATGAAAAAACAATTCTCTTGACTTGGGTTTCCATTCCTCACTCCCACTTGCCTTAGATTATTTCCACTGAAGATGTTCAATTGCCTTAATGACTGACCCGGGAAAAGACCTGCTGCCCACAGGGCTAACTCTGACCAGCCGGGCAGGAGTCTGTGGGCTTGGCAGAGTTCACTTCCTGCCGAGAGCCAGTCCGTGCTCAATTTCACTTCACCCCGGGCCTGTTCAGTAAGCACCACGCAGTAGCCACTGGCCAGGTATGTGTGGGGAGAAAAGCAAAGTAAAAGGATGGTTTTCTCTCGAAGCAGCTGGTGGAAGCCAAGTCACAGCTCTGGAGCGCAACGGACACGATGGGCACCCCCACTCTGGATGGCCCCCATGTGTCAGCCTCTCATTTCCCTAACCCTCTTGCTTTTGGCACCTTGACTAGGGTTGCCACAGGGGTTTCACAGATTGCGAAAAGCATAAGGAAATCAGAGCTTACGGACAATGTGTAGATTCTGCTAACAGAAACAGACACACACGGTAGGGACTGGTATGAAAACTGAGTCTGCCTGCCTCCAGCTGGGCAGGCTGCTTAAGAACACTTTGGGGAGAGGGACCCTGCTGATCGGAGCAGCACGTGATGATGGGGCTGACTTGAGCAGTGTCAAGGATGACCCTCTCACACCACCTGGTCAAAGATCAGCTGTCCATCTCCAAGTCAGAGGGTCACATGAACGGGGGAGTTTGGGAGTGGTTTTCTTCTGTCAGTGAATATGTGCACACACAGCATGGTTTACTCAATGTGCTTTTCTTACGTTCCACTGCTTTATAAAGTCACATCCCATCAGAATCATCATTAAAGCTCACTGTCATTACCAAATATAAAGTTTCCAGCACTGTAGAAGCAGAGTAAGGAGTTACAGATCCCAAGGGAAACTGCAGGAGGGGTCAGCCCTGACACGCTCACTGTGAGTACAAGCACTAAGTTCTTTCTCATTCTGAGAGGGGAAGACTTCCCACGGTCACTCAATCACCAAACAGGGAGCAAAAGCTTCTTTTGGCTTGGGCATGCTCTGGTTCCAGATTGGTGAGGGTAGGGAGGACAGTGAGTAGTCCAAACTAAACGGATAGCCCCAGGCAGGTGGACAGAACACCCTGAAAACCCACCCAGCCAGGACCCAGAGTCAGAAGTCAAGAGCTACTATCAGCTGCGTGGGTCTCCATCAAAGCCTGGGGCACCACCAATCCCTTCAGCCCCCTCCTCGATCCAGAGCCCAAGAGGGGCTCCAGCTCTTTGGGAAAGGAGGATGGAAGCTGGTGAAGACTGTGCTATTCCCAAATGCCCGTGATATTCTCAGGGCCACATCTAGCTATACAGTCAGAGTGCAGGACACACTCCCACCTAGAAGCGAATGGCACTATTTTAAGAGCAGAGCTTCTGGGACAGTCTAAGATTCCTGCCTGACACTTTAACTCAAGAGTATAGAAGCCATGCCAGTGTGCAGACAGATTCCCTGAAGGATCTAGACGGATACTGGAGTCTGCAAGCACCACATAAGAACTTTTTTAAAACCTCATTTTACACTATTTTTTTTCTTTTTGGTTTTATGAGTTTGGGGTCTCACTCTGTCACCCAGGCTGGAGCGCAATGACACAATCATGGCTTACCACATCCTCAACCTCCTGGGCTCAGGCGATCCTCCTGCCTCAGCCTCCTGAGTAGCTGGAACTACAGGTATGCACTACCACACCTGACTAGTTTTCTTGATTTTTTTTGGTAGAGGCAAGGTCTCGCTATGTTGCCCAGGCTGGTTTCAAACTCCTGGATTCAAGCGATCCTCCGACCTCAGCCTCTCAAAGTACTGAGATTGAGGTCTGAGCTACCATATCCACCACCCTGTATACATGTTAAGTCATTAAAAGAGGTTCCGCATCTAGAATGGGCAGAGCACTCACTCCACTTATAACCATCTTCATGAAAAATGATCACTCCTGGTTTTTTCTGGTAGTTTTTGAGATTAACATGGAAACATTGTGTTTCCCTCAATATATAATTGTCCAAACTGAACGTACAGGCAAAGTTTACGCAAAGGCCCTGACAGAACTATATCTATATTCCAAAGTAGGTGGGTGTGTGGAGCCACCAGTCACCCTGTGTATTCTACGAAGGGCAAAAGCTGCAACTTTTCTATCCAATACAACTATGGGCAGGAATTACATGATTACAATAAAGGTCCTTCCATTCAGTTTAAGATTTAGAGCAGAAGGAAAGACAAAAACAAATTCCCAAGAAATCAAAATACTTCCATGCTCATCTTGTACTCCAAGAAACCCTGAGATGAATTGTCGTCCTCAGACACCTGCACTTGGATCTAGGCCTGCCGGGAAACATCAGTAAGCTTCAAACTGGCTCATCATCAGCTTCCTGCTATACTCATAGGCCAAGAAGAGCGCCCCATTAGCAGGGAATGCTCGGATCATGGTGGGCTTCAGTCCAGAATATAAGGCTGTTATGCCTAGAACACAAAAGGGCAATCGAAGACTGTGACAAACCCCTTCTTGAGGATGCCCCACGTCACTGCAAAGCACAAGTATATTAGCACTTACAAATCCAGACAACATCAATAGCCATACCACCCTGAATACACCAATCCTGTCTGATCTCGGAAGCTAGGGAGGGTCGGGCATGGTTAGTCCTTGGATGAGAGACAAATCCAGACAATTAAACTAAAAACTAACAAGCAATGGAAGGACTTCCAGTTTCCCCTAAATAGACTAACAGAAACAAGGACAAGTATCAAATCTGCTGGCAAAAGTGATCGACGCTCAGGTAGCACAAATCAATGCCACACCTGGTTAACTCCTGGCATATGGATAAGTCAGAGCTGAGGGCTGATGTGGCCAGGCAAAGGCAACCACGGAGCCAGGCATGGCAGCTTCAATTGGGCAGCAGCAGGAGCACCAACTTGGAAGTCAGAGACCTGTTTCTAGTATCAGCACTGCCCTAGATAATTCTGAAGATTTAATCAGGCCAGGAGCAACGGCTCACATCGGTAATCCCAGAACATTAGGAGGCCGAGGCAGAAGGATCACTTAAGCCCAGGAGTTCCAGGTCTAGCCTAGGCAACATAGCAAGACCTCATCCTTACAAAAATTTAAAAATTAAAAAAATTAGCTGGGCATTAGTGGCATGTGCCTGTGGTCCCAGCTACTCGGGTGGCTGAGGCAGAAGGATTGCCAGAGCCCAGGAGGTCAAGGCTCCAGTGAGTTGTGATCACGCCACTGCACTCAGCCTGGACAGCAGTGTCCTACTCCAAAAAAAAAAAGAAGATTGAACTGGATAAGGTGTAAATACTTTGTGAAACTTTATATGTTATACAAACTTAAGCAGGAGCGGCTGTTAGTAATATTCAAGATGACTATGCTCTATCTGAGACACAAATTAAACAAATAGGTTCTCTGTTCCTGTGCCCTCTCTTTTCAAAAACAAAACAAAGAAGTCCATACGCCAAGTTTTCAGATCTATCCTAGGTGCTGGGGAATGAGGTATCCACTCACCTTCATTTTTCACAACACTTAAAAAGGTGCCAATAAATCCTGCCTGTTTTCCAGACATGGAAAGAACTTGAATTCTGGATTTGATGCAATCCACGGGGTACACAGCCAGCCAGAGGCAAATTCCACCAACTCCACCACTTAACATCAAAGAAACAGGGCCTAGAGAAAAAAACAGCCCATGTTATCTTGTCTCAAGAACAGCTGATGTGACATTTCCAGAGGTCACCTTAGCATTTTGATATCTTAACACTCAACAGCCCTGATTCTTCCTTTACAATTAAAAACAAAAATGGTCTTCTTAAACACAGCAGTTAAGTCTGGGAGCTGGATTCACCCCAGAACAGATCCAACACACTGGGGAGATAAGAAAAAAATGAGCTAACATTGCATTGCACACAGTTGTGACACGCAGCTCAACCCGATATGCTACACATAACTACACCTTTCACTGTTCTTAAAGCACTAGCAAGATGACCCAGGTTTAAGCTTATCACAACAGGGTTTATAGCTGATTTCCCCACAGAAAAAGAAATTGCTGTATTTCTTCTCCCCTAAAATGAATCCTGAAAATTAACACATTGTTCCAGTAAGGAAGTCTGGGATGGATGACTAGAGTTCCAATTTGGGGGGAACCACTGAGTCAAGAGGAAGGATGCTGGCGAGCGCCTGCTACCATGTTACTTTCTGGCATCCAGAACCTTCCCCATGCTGAGAGGACACTGCCATGGGTGGGGTGGGCCCAAGGAGCAGAGAATCCAAAGAAACCACACTTTATTTGTTTTTTTAGTCAGGGCCTCAGGCTGGAGTACAGTGACATGATTACAGCTGATGGCAGCCTCGACCTCCTGGGCCCAGCTCATCCTCAGTCTCCCAAGAAGCTGGGACTACAGGCATGCACCTCATGCCCAGCTAATTTTTTTATTTTTTGTAAAGACAAGATCTTGCTATGTTGCCCCAGCTGGTCTTAAACTCCTGAGCTCAAGCAATCCTCCCACCTCAGCCTCCCAAAGTGCTGGGATTACAGACATGAGCCACGGCACCCAGCAGAAACCAATTTCAGGGAGCAGACACCATCATATCTAAGTGCTGTCAATGCAGACACATTTACCTAGTTCATCTTTGGATCTCCCCGATGCAAAAAACGATCGACTCAGTTCATAGCCACCGAAGAAGAAGAAATAGCCAGGTACTTCTCGAAGCAAAGTGCTAGAGAGTCCATGGTAGAAGCCCAAGGGGCCGTCCTTCCTAAGAATACTCTTCACGACAGACCAAACTGTACTGGGAGGAAACACAGAGTGAGAGATGCAATTATGGCAAGCAGACGGGGGAGGAAGCAAAGACAGGGGCATTCACGTCCAACAACAGACCTTCTCAAGCACTCTAAGGGAGCGGGTGACTGTCAAAGAGGAAGCAGGAATTCTGAGAATAAAAGGCATTCTTCTGTGGGAAGGAAATATCTCACAAATACAGTCATTTTAGAGCAAGTCTTGCCACCTAAATTATCATCAGTAGAGGAATTTTATTAAAATGGAAAGCCAGATGCAGTGGCTCATGCTTGTAATCCCAGCACTTTGGGAGGCAAAGGCAAGAGGACTGCCTGAGTCCAGGGGTTCGAGACCAGCCTGAACAACTTGGCGAGACCTCGTCTCTACAATAAGTCAAAAAATTAGCTAGGGGTGGTGGCACGTGCTGTGGCTCCAGCTACTTGGAAGGCTGAGGCAGAAGGATCGCCTAAGCCCAGTGGGTTGAGGCTGCAGTGGCCAAGTATCCCACTGTACTCCAGTGTGGGCAGCAGAGTGAGACACCGAATCAAAAAAAAATAAAAGGGCCAGGCTCGGTGGCTCAGCCTACAATCTCAGCACTTTGGGAGACTGAGGTGAGTGGATTACTGAGTCCGCAGATTCAAGACCAGCCCAGGGACCTTGGTAAGACCTCATCTCTACAATAAATAAAAAACTAGCTGGGTGTGGTAGTTGGCACCTGTAGTTCCAGCTACTTGGAAGGCTGAGGTGGAAGAATCGTCTGTGCCAAGCAGGTCGACACTGGGTTGGCTGTGAGCATGCCACCACACTCCAGCCTGGGCGACGGAGTGAGACTCCAACTCAAGAAAAAAAAAATGGATGCATGTGCTTCTAGAAGTCACATGATCCAGGATGACAAAGCAAATGCTCATTTCTACGATAGTGAGTACATGAAAACCACAGTTATAATAAGCAGCTGTCTACACTCAGCAAGAATATGGTGGTGTTGCCCAGCCTTGATCATCCCTTGTTCTTCAGTTTTTCTGGTGTGTTTTGGGGAGATTTGTGTGACTGTTCTGGGTTTATTTTTGTTGTTGTTTTAGTGAAGAGAAGTGAGCAAAAGAGTGAATGTGACTTGAAAGCAAGACAAGAGAAATTCACTCCCATAATGCAAAAAGCAAGAGCTGAATTCTAGAACTGAGGGGAATGGAACATGCCCTGGAGCAGCTGGAATGCACGATGCCTTTGGTCCACTGACTCCTCTTCATTATGGGGCACCATGACAGGTTTTGTCCCCACTAAGAACAGGGAGGGAAATCACACACCTAGTATGTCCCAATCCCTTCCCTTTGCTCTCAGAGAACAGGGGTATCAGCCTAGAGCGAAGAACCAAGCTCAGAGGTGGTCAAGGCCACAAGCATCCAGATGCAGTGGCTCATGCCCGTCATCCCAGCACTTTGGGAGGCCGAGGCGGGAGAATCACTTGAGCCTAGGAGGGAGAATTGCTTGAGCCTAGGAGTTCAAGACCAGCCTGGGAACCATAGCGAGATCCCGTCTCTACAAAAAAACAAAAAAAGATCCAGGCGTAGTGACGCATGCCTGTAGTCCCAGCCACTAGGGAGGCTGAGGCAGAAGGATTGCCTGAGCCCAGGAGGTCAAGGCTGTGGTGCGCTGTGATTGTGTCACTGCACAGCCTGGGTGACAGAAGACCCTGACTCAAAAATAAAATAAAATAAAAATACAGGTCACAGCTCCGAACAATGATTTTCCTCTTGAGAGCCTCTGAAGCCTCCGTCAGCATTCTTGATCAGGCAGGCCCTTCCCAGAGCATCGCTTTTTGCAAATGCCACATGCAATCCAGCTCTACCTGGTCAACCTGCCTTCCAATCCAAATCTTAGCCCCAAGCTGTCAAAAATGCCTCATGTGTACACCACTAGGCTACAAATACAAGGTCAGCTTGGCCAGGCACAGAGGCTCACATCCATAATCCCAGAACTTTGGGAGACCAAGGCGGGAGGATCTTGAGCGGGGAGTTCAAGATCAGCCTGGGAAGCATAGCAAAACCTTGTCTCTACAAAAAAAAATTAAAATTAAAAACAAAACAAAGTCAACTTTCTTGCAAGGTGTCTGCCTGCCTTAAGCCTTTTGGATATAACTATTACTATCTTTAATTTACCTTAAACTACTTCCAAAGGACATATGGGCAGCTTCCAGGTGTGCTAATGGTCTATTTGTTAATCTGGACACTGATTACAAAAACACATAAATTGTGTGACTAGTTATAGAACCACATACTTATGACCTGTAGGAATGTTAACAATAGTGTGTTTGTGTGTGTTTCAAGAAAAAATGTTACCAGCCCAGAGAACACAGCGAGACGGTGCCTGAGCAGTGCTTACTTCTGGCTTTTGGCTATCTTTCCCGATGTCTCCATCTCATACATGGTCTGCAGCCGGCACTTCACGAGTTCGGTGGGGCAAAGCACCAGTGCGGCAAAGGCAGAGGCAAAGGATCCAGCAGCTGCATTCTGCAGATCACTGAAAGCACACAAGCGCGGTCACCCGTCGACTTCTTGACCCGTCTAGCACTTACCAAGCCGAGGGCACCTTGGCAATAAGGGAGCCAGGGACTGTGGCCTTTACCTATAGTCCCAGCTACTCGGGAGGCTGAGGTAGAAAGTTTGCTTGAGCCCAGGAGTTCTGGGCCAAAGGGCACTATGATTTGTGATCATATGTGTGAATCGCCACTGCATTCCGGCCTGGGCCACATAGTGAGACCCCGGCCTCTAAAAAGGAGGCTTCTGGTGAGTCCTTAGGAAGCTACCCTCACGGCAGTTGCTCCTGGTTGGATGTAGGGCATGGAGGATGGCCTCAGGACACAGTTTTATTTGAAGCCTAGAGGCAAAAACACTGAGGTGTTACTGGCAAATGCTTTTCAGAGGGGGGGCCTGTTACACACCTGGGTGTCTCAGAAGCCTTGGCTGGAGGGGGTTTTCTTTCGGGAGGAAGATGCCACTAGCAGTCCCCTCTTCCTTTTGATTTTACAGAATCAACCCTAAGCCCACAGACAGAGGCGAGCCAGGCACACACGTCTGCACAGGCCCACCTGCCCACCTGACTTCACTTCTTCTCGCTTGTCAAAACCAAGACTTACAATGGCTTCTGCAGTCTCAGAGCCAGCCACAGATCTGTATATGGCTGCCCTCAGCCCTCAGGGACTCTCTGTCAACCTGCTGATAGGCAGTAGTCAGTTGGGGTCATTAACCAGAGATGGTCAAGGTTGCTGGAACAAAGGTGGCAGTCAATAAATGGGGAAGTCGATTCAATCTAAGACGCGATAAGGGATCAGACATCTGAACCCACACCAAGCACGTTATCACGGTGCGAGGCCAAGGCCACATGGGATCTGCGGTGTACTTTGGCTGTCTGATACTTTCATCTTCCAGGGTACAAAACAAGGTGCATGAGCTCCTGGTTCTGCGCAAGAGGACAGCAGGTGTGACAGCCACGGGCATGGAATCATCTGTTTGTCATCCAGTCAACAAACATGTACCTGAACCTCCTGCTGTGTGAGACCCCATCTGGCCAAAGGTCAAAAGCAGAACACCACGCTGGGTCGTGTTCAACCCCGGAGCAGATAAACATTGACAACACAGTCCTCTCCTTTCACTGCTCTCGATTTTTTTTTTAAGTTGGGGTCTCACTCTGTCATCCAGACTGGAGTGTAATGGCACGATCAGGGATCACTGCAGCCTTGACTCCTGGACTCAGGCAATCCTTCTGGCTCAGCCTCCCGAGTATCTTGAATTACAGGTACACGCCACCACCTAGCTAATTGTTTTTTTGTACAAGTGAGGTCTTTCTGTGTTGCCCAAGCTGATCTCAAGCAACCTGTCTGCTTCTGCCTCCCAAAGTGCTGGGATGATAGGCGTGAGCCACCATACCCAACCGCTGCTCTTGATTCATCTTCTCTCAAGAGCTGACTCTTAGCAAATACTCCAGCCTCTCACCCTCCCCCAACTATGGTCTGATGGAAATAAGGCTGGGCAAGGGCTCAGAAGACATGGGTTTGAGTCCTCATCCAGGCAACCTGGAGCATGTCAAGACCTGCACCTCAGTTTTCCCATCTGAAAGACAGATAACAACACTGTGGTGAGGGGTATGATTACAGATGTGTGTGTCAGGCTTTGTAGACTCTAAGGCATCATCTCAGCAGGTAACAAGCCAACATGGCTCTAAAGGATGAGAAAGAAAAGGCTTCTGCTCAAAAACGATCAGAGGGTTGAATTAAACAGTGCTGAAAAACATGAGTTCTCCTCTGCAGCACTCCCAAGCATTTTTAACAAGCTAACAAGTATACTCCTTGGAATAAATGTACCCAGAGTGAGTCCTCACAAGAGAAACACTAGGGGCTGGGTGCGGTGGCTCACGCCTGTAATCCCAGCACCCTAGGAGGCCAAGGAGGGAGGAGGGAGGACTGCTAGGACCCTAGGAGGCCCAGGAGCTTGAGGCCAGCCTGGGCAACAGAGTGATACCTCATCTCTACAAAAAAAAAATTTTTTAAGTGGCTGGGTGTGGGGGTATGCACCTGTAGTCCCAGCTACTCAGGAGGCTGCAGCTGGAGGATAGCCTGAGCCGGGAAGTCAAGGCTACAATGAGCTGTGATCGTGCCACTGAACTTCAGCCCATGCAAGAGACCCCAACTCAAAAAAAAATAAAATAAAAAAGAAAGAAGAGGCTGGGCTTGGTGGCTCAGGCTGTAATACCAGCACGTTGGGAGGCCGAGGTGAGTGGATTGCCTGAGCCTGCGGGTTTGAGACTCACCCGGGCAACTTGGCGAGACCTCATCTCTACAGTAAATAAAAAATTAGCCAGGCATAGGTAATGTGTGCCTGTAGTTCCAGCTACTTGGAAGGCTGAGGTGGAAGGATTGCCAGAGCCCAGCAGGTCGAGGCTGCGGTGGCCAGGAGCGTACCACTGCACTCCAGTCTGGGCGACAGAGTGAGACTCTAACTCAAAAAAAAAGAAGAGACAGACACTAGAAAGCACTTCCTAACCCTCCCAAGGACATCGAGCAGCTCATGTCCTGGAGCCAGCGTGGGAAACGCAGCTGGCCAGCATTTTCTCCACCCGAAAAGCAGAAGCAAGCGAGGAGGGGCAGGCAGGGCCAGACTCCTAACAATATCTCCCAGGTAAGGAGGCAGAAATCACCATCCTCGTCCTGTGGCCATTGGAGGGAGGATGGCTCCTCCTCCAGACCCGCCCTGCCTTTCCTCCCCACTGCATCTTTCCCTAAGGAGGATGGAGCACTAAACTCCAGGCTTCCTCCCCAGACTGTCTCTCCCTCAGCGGAATGGCACTGCAGCCACCAGTCCCTTTGTTTGTGCTCAGTTGCCATGTGGGGTGCCTGGCTCCCTTATCTCCTTCCCTCCTTCCCTCTCTGTGCTGGAGGGTCTTTGGGTGGCTCAGCCCTCCTCTCTGCCTCTACCTTCTCTGTGGGCTATCTGACCCCAAGCCTCTAAAAAACAAACTCCACCCATCATGCTCTAATTCTTGCCTAAAAAATGCACATCTCAAGACGTCCAGGCACAAGGAACCTATGTTAGTTGTTGACACTGGCTGCTGCAACAGGGTTTCAAACTCCTACCAAAACACCACGACTGCCCTTTGCGAACACAAAGCTTATAGCATAATTTTTTGAGGCTGGGCACAGTGGCTCATACCTGTAATCCCAGCACTTTGGGAGGCTGAGGCAGGATCATCGCTTGGGCCCAGGAGTTTAAGACCAGCCTGGAAACATAGTGAGACCTTGTCTCTACAAAAAAAATTAAAAACTTAGCCAGGCACGGTGGTGCCTGCCTCTAGTCCCAGCTACTGGGGAGGCTGAAGCAGAAGAATCACCTGAGCCAAGGAGGTCAAAGCTGTGGTGAACCGTGATCGTGTCACTCCACTCCAGTCTGGGCGACAGAGTACGACCTTAACTAAAAAAAAAAAAAAAAGAAAGAAAGAAAAGTGGCATGATCATAGCTTACTGTGATTTGAACTCCTGGGTTCCAGTGATCCTCCTGCCTCAGCCTCTCAAGTAGCTAGGACTGCAGACATGTACCAGCACACTAGGCTTAATGTTTTTTTTTTCCTGTAGAGATGAGTTTTCACTTTGTCACTAAGACTGGTCTTGAATTTCCGGGCTCAAGTGATCCTCCCACTCCAGCCTCCTAAAGTGCAGGGATTACAGGCATGAGCCACCATGCCAGGCCCAATGGTCTTTTGTTTTAAAACAAAATGTCAGCGTCCTCAACTCACCTCAGCTTGGCCTGTCTGTCTAGTCCGACCACTTTTCGCACCACCTGCTGGCAGAAGCCATAGCACATGAAGAGGACAGAGTTCTCAGCGATGTTGGCAATCAGTGCTGGGCTGGTCCCCTTATAGAAGCCGCGGAAGCCCACCTGGGAGTAGGTCTTCAGGCAGCAGTCGGTGAGGCCCCGGTACAGGTCGGGGAATGTCTGCATCTTCACTTTCATCGTGTCGAAGGGCTGCCCAGTCAGCACGCATGCTGTGCCCCCTGGAACCAGAACAGAAGTCAGCTCTAGTGCAGGCTAGGTTTTGCAGAGTCAGGCCTCCGTTATCTGTAGAGAGGAGACACAGGCAGCCCACCTGGGGCTGACTCTTGTTCTGGTTCCCTTCAACCTTTTTCCCCAAAACCTTCCAGCTGGGTCCAGTAAACAACTAGCAGTGGGTCCCCAATGGACCCTGCATATCAGCCTCACCCTGAAGGAGCTCATACTCCCACAGGGAAGACAGTCTTCACCTTCACCGGACACAACCATGCAGTGTGTATGGGAGCCTCGTAACTGGTAAGAGGGGCCTGGGCTGACACCGGGTCTGCTGCGAGATCCTGGACAAGCCACACCCCTTCAGAGCCTCAGTTCCTCGTCCATGCCACTCATGGGGTTCAGGTGAGGATTAGTTTAAAATGGAGGAGCCAGGCTCAGCACTGCGCCAGTGACACGAGTGAAAACCAGCAGTCACCGTGCCAGAGCGAGAAACAAAAGCCATACAGAGGTGGGGAGACCTGGGGTGGGACTGAAGCCATCAGAACAATAACCAAGAAAACAGGGAGTCTGGGTAGTTAATCCCTAAGGAGCTAAATATCTGACTCAATGGAAAAATCTTTTTTTTTTTTTCGTTTTGTTTTTGAGTTGGAGTCTCACTCTGTCGCCCAGGCTGGAATGCAGTGGCGCAATCACGGCTCATCAAAGCCTCCACCTCCTGGGCCAGGTGCTCCTTCTGCTTCAGCCTCCCAAGTAGCTGGAACTATAGGTATGTGCCACCACACCCAGCTAATTTTACTTTTTGTAGAGACAAGATCTCAGTGTGTTGACCAGACTAGTCTTGAGCTCCCAGGCTCAAGCGAACCTCTTGCCTCAGTTTTCTAAAGTGCTGGGATCACAGGCCCTGCCTGAAAAACCTCTTGAATTTGAACTCTACCAATGAATGGCTTGTATTTTGATAAGGAATGGACTGAAATTTATTTTTGCTTAACATAGATCCTATATTTCTGTATGTTTATACTGTAAGAGTAGTAGAATAGAGATTCTGTGTCACTAATGAGGACCCTTCACCCCCCAGCAAAGGGGCTTGTTGTCCTCAGAAGTTAGGCTATGCATGCCAGCTCTCCTTCCATTTGGGGCATCCCTGTGTTGCCATCACAGAGAGAAATGCCCACCCAAAGTGATCAGGTACAGTTGCAGTATACATGAGGGCCCAGCACATGATAAAAATCATGCCCACCAGCCAGCGTCCTACAGATCAGGCTCCCAACATGACTATTGCAATTTACAGCTCTAAAACTGACAATAAATTACAAATGTGGCTCCCTAATACTGTATGCACAAAAATGGAGAAAGGAAAACTTTTTAATTCTATCACAATCAATCCTAGGTCTTCAGCAGACTGACAAACATAACATGTCAGAAATTGAGGCTGGGCGTGGTGGCTCACACCTGTAATCCCAGCACTTTGAAAGGTCAAGGACAGAGGGTTGCTTGAGCCCAGGGGTTCGAGACCAGTCTGGGTCACATAGCAACATCTTGTCTCCACAAAAATTAAAAAAATTAGCTAGGTGTGGTGGGGCACACCTGTAGTCCCAGCTACTAGGGAGGCTGAGGTGGAAGGTTTGCCTGCACCCAGGAGGTCGAGGCTGCAGTGACTGTGCCACTGCACTCCAGCCTGGGTCACAGAGCAAGACCCTGACTCAAAAAGAAAAAAAAAGTTGAGACTCTCATGTGGTTAAACGCCTTCCTACGCTGAGACCAAGGACTGAGCCCAGAGTGTTCACATGCAGGTGAGAGGAGGCTGGAGCAGGCAAAGGGCCACTTCATTCTCAGTGTCTGTGTGGCATGGTGAGGAGGGGACGGGACATGGGACCCAGGGGCTGCAGCTCACTTCCACGGCAGGGCAAGCGGCTGACCCAAAGGCATGCAGTGGGCAAAGGGCCTCAGGGCGTACCCCAGACCGCCTTCAGCACCCTTCTCCTGAGGCCAGGACCCTCCTTACAGGCTGTAACCAGGGAGCAGTGCCCTGGCCGGGTGCCCCCATCAGTCTGTGACACACTGTCTCTAATCTTCCTCACAAGTCTACTCAGTCGACCTCTGGTACATGAAAAAACTCTTTGCTCTTCTCTGAACAATTTCTTTTTTGCAATCCAGTGAACGACAGGATGACGGGTGCAACCTCCTGACCATGCAGGTCTGTTGACCCGGGGGGATAAGAGTACATGGGGCAGCAGCCCCTGGAACCTCCCTCTCCAGAGTTGCAGACTGGGGTTTCCTTTTAGGCAACACGAGCATGGCAACTCCTGTCACCCTGGCCCTGAGATATCAAGGACTCCGGGGAAGCAAGTCACCAGTCCCGTCTTTCACCCACAGATGCACTTCCTGCTTTTTCTGCACCTTCAAAGTGACCATTCTAAACAGCAGCCTGGTCACCACTCCCGGCAATGCTCCCTGTGCAACACCCACCCAGGCCCTCAGGTTCAGGCCCCCAACTCAGCTCTGGCTGACCACTCCCAGCAAATCCGACCTCTTCTCCTTTCCCTTCATAGCTTTAAGACACACTTCAGGCTGGGCATGGTGGCTCACACCTTTAATCCCAACACTTCAGGAGGTGGAGGCAAGAGGACTGCCTGAGCCCAGGGGTTCAAGACCAGCTTGGGCAAGGGCAACTTGGTGAGACCTAGTCTCTACAATGAATCAAAAAACTAGCCAGGCATGGTGGCACACGCCTGTAGTCTCAGCTACTTGTAAAGCTGAGGCAGAAGGATTGCCTGCACCGCAGCCTGAGTGAGAGTGTGACTCCAACTCAAAAAAAAAAAAAAAAGACACTCCATTATAGGTCTCATTGCTAAAGCGTGTCGGAGTATCCTTCCTTTCCCAGTACCAGTGAGAATAGTCACTGGCATTTCCCTGGGGAGACGGCAAGGTGCTTTTTTGCACTACAAGGCTCTGAAGACTGTCAGGCTTGGCATGAAGCCCTTCGTCCTGGCTGCCCTGGGAACATCCTCACACTCACCCTGGCTCATAATCTAATAATAAGAACAGACACTACCTTCTGCCATGCTCTAAACCACATTCCACCCATTCTGAGGTTGGAGCCTACTGCTTCTGGGGAGGGGAGAAACGTCCTATTTTCACACCACTCTCACTTGGTCTCACATACAAGGTAGTTGAGGAACAAAGAGGACTGGTTTTCTTCTGGGATCACTGTCATGTGTGGCTTAGACAGAGATGCGTTTTGAGAAATACATTGTCAATGTGTGAACATCACAGAGCACACTCACACCAACCTAGACCATATGGCCTGCGGCACACCTGGGCTGCATGGTGTGGCCCATGGCTCTTAGGCTGCACACCTGTATGGCATGTTACTTGCTGAACAGTGTAGGCAACCGCAACACAATGTAAGGATTTGTGTGTCTAAACAGAGCAAGGTGGAGTAAAAATGTATTACGATCTCACGGGACCACCTTTGCATATGTGGCCATCCTTGACAAAAATGTCACTCTGCAGCACATGACAGTACCTGCAGCTCCTGCCGTGAGGTCGATGGCAGCTTGGATAGCAGGATTGGTCTTCATGTTTGTCCGCTCCTCTGCCGGTCCCCGTGGAAGGCAACTCTCTGGAGCTTAAGCCCGGCACCGCATAGCCCTGGGGAAGCAAGAATTCACCATCAGCCTACTCCACAACCTCCGTTCTGTAGGCCTGCAGTTGAGCTTGAACCTGAACTTCGGGGAGCCTGGACAGGAGTTCTATGCTGCTCCAAAAAAGGGGGGCTCAAGGTGTCAGTGCAGCTTAGTGATGGACTGCCCCCCAAAAAAGCCCTCAGATCGAAAATCTGAGTATTGGTGCTAGCCATTGACACTCCAGCCAACCTCTCTGAAAACCTTAAAAACAAACACCAAATACAGTAACCAACCCTAGATGACCCAAACCACCTCAAGCTAGTTTCTCAGAGGCTGAAGTTAAACCCATGGAGACAGTTCTGAGTTCAGACAGCAGCCTGTGCTGGGCGCCTCAGGGGAGTGATAAGACAGGAGGTCAGGAAGGGAGCACCCAGGCAGCAAAGCCTAGGGGCTCTCTGAGCGACACACACCAGGATGCAAACACCTGCTTCACCCATAACACGGCCCTGGGCCTCAAAAGCTGGGAGCTCTTATCTGCACAAGGTGAATAATGAAAATAGGATAATCTAAAGGCAATCACAACAGCCACAGCGGATTGATTCCTTCCGTGTTCTTCCAAGGCCACACGTGTTCTTGTCACCACAGCCCAAGAGCACTTCTCAACCACACACCTGCACACGAGTCACCTGGGGGGGGTCTTGCTAAAATGCAGCTTCTGATCTAATAGGCCTCAGTTGGGGATGAAAGATGCTGCCAATCTGAACAAGTTCCCTGGTGAGGCTGAGATGCAACACCTGGGCCCTTGTGCCCCAAATTGGCTTATAAGAATCACGTGGGGCAAGTATACCTCAAATTACCAGGCCGTTCTCCTGGAAACCTTGGTTCAGTATGTTTGGGTTGAAGCCTAATAAGTTTGCAGAAACTAGAATCTGTTCCTCTACCATTAGACAGAATTGAACTATTCACTGCAGGGTGGACTTAAACATTAACTAGAGGCCAGGCGTGGTGTTTCACGCCTGTAATCCCAGCAGTTTGGAAGGCTGAGGCCAGAGGATTGCTTGAACCCAGGAGTTCAAGACCAGTCTGGGGAACATAGAGGAAGATAGAGAGAACCTGTCTCTATTTTTTAAAATATTTTTTAAAATATTGACTAGAAAACGTGGCTCATTAACATAGATTAAAGTAACCAAGTTCAGCAGCCAATTCTGGATAGTCTTCAAATCGTGTCAGTAACTTATTCATGAAAAACAAGGAGCACTTTTATTCCTCATCTCACTGAGGAGCTGCATGATCACAACCAGACCGCCTCTAAGCGGGGATTGGTGAACAGAACTGGAGATGAACGCTGTCGTTTCAACACCCATGTCATCCTCAGCATCAATGGAAAATGTTAGCTACCATGAGGTTTAACAACTTGAAGCATTCTGCCAAAGATCAGGCCCTATTTTAAAAAAACTTAAACCAGCAACAACAAAGGTACAGTACTTAACAAAGTCGTAATAAGAAGTACAAGACACTGATTTTTACATTGATAGGCCTGGAGAGAAAGTGCCAGTTATTAGGTGAATACGGTGGTAAAAAGAATATCTGAGCCAGGCTCCGTGGTTCAGCCTGTAATCCCGCGCCTTTGGGAGGCTGAGGTGAGTGGATTGCCTGAGCCCCCGGGGTTCGAGACCCGCCTAGGCAACTTGGCGAGCCCTCATCTCTACAATAAATCAAAAATTAGCCGGGCGTGGTAGCGCACACCTGTAGTTCCGGCTACTCGGAAGGCTGAGGCGGAAGGATCGCCGGAGCCCAGCAAGTCGAGGCTGCAGTGGCCGGGAGCGGCCACTGCACTCCAGTCTGGGCGACAGAGTGAGACTCCAACTCAAAAAAAAAAAAAAAGAATATCTGAGTCCTAATCCAATCTCCTTTTCCAGAAGGAAAACTGAGGCCATAGCATGACAAAATCTGGTCCAAAGCCACACAACTAGTCAGTGACAAAGGCTTCAGCTCGGAAAGTTTCGTTCCTCAGGCTGTGCCTACAAGCCAATCATGCTTAATTCCAGAGTCTCCCAACCTGGCGGAAAACAACACTAAGCACCCAAACCTGCAACTGTGGGGGCGAGGGACAGGCAGTCGAGGGGACACGGACACACACACATCCAGCATGGCCTCTTAGGAAAACCTCGGTGCGTTCGTTTCTCTTCACGTGGACGCTGCTTCCTCAATTTGGAAGGAGAAAGAGTCTCACCGCGACTGTCAGCGTGAGTTCACCCCACTCAGTGGGCCACGCTTAGGCACGTTAAGTTCTATCACGCGCAGAATAATCAGGACAGAAGACAGTGGCGAGGACTAACAGGTTCACCCAGAAGGGGTGCGCCGCTAGCTCCGACTACGTGCGGCTCCGGCTTGGAGAGGACCGGGGGCTTGGAGGGCC